GGTCTTGTTAAACCTTTGGGTATCATGTGGTTTTCGGTTAAATAACACTGAAAGGCTAGGGGAGACATCTGGCCGGAGTGCTGGGGGTGGTGACAAGGTCTGGCAAGGTCAGTGCGAGCATTCATATACGGAATTTGGCAGCGGCAGGAGCAGAACAGGTGCAGGCCCCAGGCAGGAGGTGCTAGAGGAGGAAGTTATTCCCGTTCCTGGGCACGAATGTGCTGGAGTAGTCAGTAGTGGAGAGACCCAGCACCAGTCAGGGGTGATGGAGAGTGTATGCAGTAGCTGGAGGGATTTGTGGCTGGTAGGAGAAGCGGCATTTGAAGCGCGTGGTATGGACAATGTCTGGACCTTGAGATTGCTTGAAGGCAGATGGTTACATCTATACATGGATGCATCCATAACTTGTCATTTGTGTAATGCCACACAGACCACGCTGTGTTTACAACGGAGTAAAACAGGATCAGAGCCTTGTTGTCACTGCACTGCTTTGTGTGGGACCTGGATCTCTTTCCCATGACAGTCAGTGAGAGAGATCATACTAAGAAAGCTTTGGCCCATGGTCTCCTTGCAGTTGTTTAGTACAAATAATTTGTATTTGTGTTTTACTTGCAGGTTGGGATGTTTAAGATTCATCCTGAAATTCCAGAATCACTGTCCGCTGAAACAAGAGCCTTTATTGTGCTCTGTTTTGAACCTGATCCTAGTAAACGTGTTACAGCATCTGATTTGCTCAGAGATTCCTTCCTGAAACAAGTAAACAAGGGCAAGAAAAGCAGAATTGCATTCAAGCCTTCAGGTAAGGAATTGTCAGCCAAATGCAAGTCAACATCATCATTAAGTGTTATATAAAAGATTGGAATCATTAAGCACTCTCTTTTACTAAGGACGATTACTTGTGCCAGGAAAGCAGCAGGTACTCAACTGTTGAAAGACCCTGTGATTTGTAATTAGACGTATTTAAACTTAACAATTCCCACGAAATACAGTGACTTGCTTATTTTGTGTTTTGCTTGCTGAAACCTCTCAACCCCATTTTTCCTCTCCTACAAAAACATGCCTCATTTATAGGAGATTAAAGTTAGAAAAATGACATTCAGTGAAGTCTTCCTAAAGCAGTTCTGCATTTTAGATTCACAATTATATACACTTCCAAGATCTGAATTTTAGAGTGTAGGTGCTTGGCACCTGGAAATGTGGCTCTATTAGGTGTTTGGGTCTACAAAGGTCAGCAGTTTCAAACTTCAGATGTATCTTGGCAATCTGGCACGTTGGTGCTGACGTGCCTGTTTAGTGGGTTGTTTTATCTGCCTAGCATGTGCTCCCCTCCTCAACGTATCAGCCGCTTTCTCAGTGATAACAAAGCTTAACACTAGACCTACCAAGTAAGTGGTGTTTGAAGGAACTGTCCGTTTAAACCCAGGGAAAGCCATTGGTCATGCTGTTTCTTTCCCCTCTGCACACACACATGCACACACTCCCAGTGCTAACTGGATTGCTTCACCCTTTGAGCTTTTTCACCCTCAGCAGGGAGCATTTGAAAGAAAGGAATGGAATTGTAGTGGGGAAGAAAGCTAGCAAAGGATTTGTAACATGTAGCTGAGTTGGTTTCACCAAGGGAATGGGCATCATCTCCCAACCTGAGCAGCACTGAGCTCTGCCATCTCTGCGGTTACACGGGGTAACGGGAGAGCTCACACTGCTCACGCAGGGTGGTGGCTGTCAGGAGCAATTGGGAGGCTACAGCCTTCTGCCCCACTGCATTAATGCTCTCCCGTGGCCTTTCCAGCCCTTGGCTGAGGACCTATTCCTGGAGGAATTGCATGGCATTAGAAAAGATGGAGCCTGCCTTATTAGCTGCCCCGGGAGCAACAGGCTCTTCCTCCTTTCCTCTCTTCTCCCACTCACTGATGAGGCTATGGGGTGCTCCCAGATGGGCTAAGGATCTGGTTAAGTACTGGGCTGTGGCAGAAAGCAAGCTGAGCGACACCCGTGGACATGAGCAGAGCGGGCAAGTGCTATGAAAACTCTGTTGGGTGAGGGGAAGAGAGAGACAACGTGGCTGCAGCCGAGCGTGTGCTTCGCTGCACTGGGCCTGGGGAAAGCCCTGCTGGCTGCTGCAGCCATCGCCGAGAACACTTGGGGGGCGTAAGGCAGGTCCTGGCCCAGCAGTTGCCACAATCCCAGCTGCAGCAGTTCACTGTGTCTTCCCTCTACTGTCTCCCTCACTGCCAATCTCCTCAGCTTTGTCCCCATCTTTCCATCCTCTCTCTATCAGGGACATTTTTTCTTTCCACTGATAAAGGCAGCCCAGGGCAAACATCAGCCCTTACTCTTGGGACAGCAACTTTCAATTTTCTGTACTGCTGAGACACCTCGAACCAGTTCGCACAGGGTGACCTATATTGTTTCATTTCTGTGACTCTTTAACCTCAGCCGTTTGAACATCAGCTGTGTACCATGGAGCCCGTCAAGAGCTTTCTGAACAGCTTTTAACTTCTAGCTGTCCCCCTCCCCCACCTCCACACGATCCACAGTGACAAGCATCAAAAAGCTTCACTGATATTTTAGCTCTGTGGATGCGTGCGCTCCGAGTTGACAGAACTTCTTCCTTACCTTTCCAACCACACAGCTGCAAACTGGCAATCAGGATTACAGCAAGCTCCCGGTATCGCTTATTTTTTTCATTTTTTCTGACTTTCAAGACGAATTGGAAAAGGGACAAGAGATTTCCTTTAGGCTACCGCTGAGGGTGAGGGTTCTTACTGAGGGCAAGGCAACACATGAGCGAGGGCGATGCCTCGGGGGTCAGAGAGGGTGCAAGAGGTGTCCCTCTTCTTCCCGGAGAGGGGGGTGAGGCACTGGAACCTGTTGCCCAGAGATGTTGTGGATGCCCCATCCCGGGATGTCTTCAAGGCCAGGCTGGATGAGGCTTTGAGCAACCTGGTCTAGTGGAAGGTGTCCCTGCCCATGGCAGGGGGGTTGGAACTAGATGGTCTTTAAGGTCCATTCCAACCCAAACCATTCTGTGATTCTATGATTCATTAAGACAGGCAGGCAGAGGTGAGGAGGGCGGGTAGCAGGGTGCTCTCTGCTTAAAGGTTTGGCTGTGGCAGAGCAGCTGAGCAGCTGATGGTAACCGAAGACCTTGATTCGGGCTCTTTATCCAGGCTGTCTATCCAGCTGCACTGCCTTGAGACACCAGCACCAGGGGGAGTGTGCGTGTGTGCGTGCGTGCGTGCGTGCAAGAGGGGACAACAAAACAGCCTTTCAGATGAGAATCCAGCTGCTTGCTGTCTTTGGATTCAGCAGTTAGCTCCTTCACACCTCTTATTGCTGGTGCATATAACGATTTTGAGCTGTATGGCTGCTTTCTGCCAACGTGGTCACTCTCCCTCAGCCATTCTACAAAACGAGGCCTTGGTATCACTGAGGATGATCACGGCTGCTGTAAGCACGTTGCCCTTTTCTGCCTGGCTCTGTTACATGTTTCACGATGTCTGTGCATAGATTACAATCGTAACACATCCCTCCCACTGCCGATCCACGGAGAACAGGCGGGCAGTAGCAGCAGTGAGCATGGCTCTGTTTCGCCAGACTCGGATGTACAGCATGACATGTTCTTCGAAAGGCCAAAGAGATCCATTTCAGAGATTCAGACAAAGCATCCCATTTCCCACTTACTAAGGTAAAGCATCTGCTTGTTGCTTGACACCCACAAGGGATTACGCGGATTTAATTCACATTATATTTTATCTGAGGGCAATTTTTTCACCTAATGACTTGATAAGCAGGTGTGTTAAACAGCCGGCGAGCTGCACAGGCGAGTTACCCATTAATTTAAATATTATCTATATTTAATTAATGAACAGTGATTCTTTCTCCTTAAGGTCTCCACATATTCGTATACTTCCTCCCTCTCCAATTAATAAATGTCAGTCGTCCTATTGACTGAGTGCATATGGATTTAGGAGTTAGCAGAAGAGCTGACACTTCCATGTACTCAGGAAAAAATGTGGGAAAGGGGCAGGAGAAAGGCAGTTCTGCTGCTCAGAGGGCACAAAGCAATACTTTCAGATGTATATATTTGAAAATACTTTTCAAATGAGTATGTTACAGTATGGGGCCAGAAAAAATGAGTAGTTATCTCCATCCAGGGTTTTCAGCTTTCCTCCCCAAAACTGAACCAGTGCTGGGTGACATTAATGCCAGCTTTGAAGCGGGATGAAATCAGTCACGTGCTTTCGGCTTCGCCGGCTTTATGCCAGCTGAAGAGCCGAGCCATCTCCTGTCTCAGAATTAGTGTGTAACAACCTGATCACTCCGCTGCTGTGGCGTACTCCCCTTTTAACCTGGGAGGTACCCTACTCGCCTCTGACGGTACTGCCGTGTTGCTAATGCTGAGGTCTCTCTCGTACCTGTGGCCTGGGTGCTGCGGCAGCGTGCCTGATGAGGGCTCAGCCTCGGAGGACAGGAGCACCTCTCCTTCTGTGGAGGATAAGGATTCCGGTCTGTTTCTGCTGCGGAAGGACAGCGAACGCCGAGCGATCCTATATAAAATCCTTAAGGAAGAACAGAACCAAGTTGCTTCCAATTTGCAGGACTGTATTGCACAGGTAATTTCACTTCAGCTCTCCTTTTCCTATGTCAAAAGGCAAATGACAAGCCAGGTAGTATTATGCCTTTTCTGAAAATCAAGATGTTTGGATTGTTCCTTCTCCGTTGTCTTTAACCTCTGCGCCCTGTAACGGTGTGAGCCATTTGCTGCTGTCTGGGTGGGTAGCAAACACCACCTTTTGCCAGCTGCTGGGCTCTGGGTTTTTTCTGAGGGGGAGTTTTGGGGCAGTTGATGTGGAGCTGAGGGGCTGAGGTTGGTGGGTTGTGGGTGGTTTTCATGGTTTTGCTGTTGTGTTTGGTTTGGGCTTTTAAGGACATGGAAATGAGTATGAGTTACTTTAAGGGTAGAGAACTGATCAGCGATTTTCAGTTCAAGGCATATGTACACAAGGTGCCAACAACACCTGAATCTTAGGAAGGCTAAGGTAAATTTCTGCAGAGAGAAGGGTTGAGTCGGAAGGTTTAATCACTGGAAGGAGGAGCAAGAAAAATCATGGTTTTGGTTAACCTATAGCCAAGCAGTGCCACACACCAGTAACACAGGTTGATCACAGAATGGTTTGGGTTGGAAGACCATCCAGTTCCAACCCCCCTACCATGGGCAGGGACACCTTCCACTAGTCCACCTTTCCTTCTCCATATCTGCTGCTGATGTGCCACAGACAGGATCTATTCTTACATGGTTTTTCACCGGGCTGAATTTGCACGAAGGGGAGCGTGCCGACTTGCTGCGTGTCCCCGGCCAGTCACTGTCCTGGGGTGAAGGCACCTGCGGCCTGGCTGCCGGGGGCCCTGCAGCTCGGGGGGCAGCTCCAGCCATGTAGAACTTCACAGGCCCAGGAGAAAGGCCCACAGACAAAGACTGGGGAAGTAATCAGAGTAAATTTCTGCTCTGGGCTTAAACTGCGAAACACCTTACAGCCTTACAGAGCACTGAATTCCTATGTGAGATCTTAGTCAGAAATAACCAGGGCTCTAAATATTTTCCAGGATAAAGAAGGATTATTTAGTATCAGCAAGTCCTACCTCGTCTCCAGCTGTTTTGCAGCACTGCTGTAATCATCTCTTTTCCATAATTTCTGTAACACTTCTCCATGTACCTTTTAATTACATGGATGGTTGTTCTTCCAGGCATTTGGATGCTTTAACTGTAGGGGTTATGGATTGCAAACCATAGAATGAACACTCAGGTCCTATCTCTGTGTAATCTCAGACCTGCTCTAGCTCATGACAAATGCACTTATGAACGTATTTTCTTGCCTAAGGAAATCCAATGCCTGCATAATGGGACATAAGTCCAGATTCAGCCTATGGAACAGATAGCATCTGAAAAATCTGGGTCTCTTAACCAACTCAGTCTGCTCTTTTTCAGAGGAGAGCTGCCCTCTGCAGTACATTGCAGAAATGTGTAGCTATTGGCTGGAACCTCTTCCATTTGTGACAGCCACAGTAGCAGTAGACTGACTATTTTTGAAAAAATGGATTACTGTTAAAAGATTTTTAGTTAGAAAAAGGTAGAAAATGAAGGCTTTACAGAAAGAATAGTCCTGTGATTTCTGTGCATCGGTGTGGAATGTACATGGGCAAAGCTATAATCTGTCACCCTAAAAATACTAATGCTACTAAGTGGATGTTTAATGACTCTGGGATGTACCCGATACACATTTATTATCTGTTCTTCAGAGCTCTGAAGAACTGCAGCTCTCAGTGGCCCACATCAAGCAAATTATTGGGATTTTAAGGGACTTCATACGCTCTCCAGAGCAGAGAGTGATGGCTTCTACCATATCCAAGTTGAAAATGGATTTGGACTTTGACAGCACTTCCATCAACCAGATTCATCTGGTCCTCTTCGGATTTCAGGATGCGGTGAGTTCCTTGCCTAGCGCAAGGGGAGAGGAATTTTTCCTGGACAGAGCTCACCCCAGGGGTTTGCAGTTTCCCCACTCTTCCCGACTCCTCTTCCTCCTTGTGCTGTACAGGGGCTTGAATGGCAGAGTCTGGGTACAGTCTGAAAGCTCTGGCCTAAACTGTCACATCTGCGGTTGAGACTTTCCAAGGCAGGAGGGTGTCAGTGACCCATGCAGCTGGTACCTGTGAACTTTGTCTGACCGTGGGAAAGCAAGATTCTCCTTCTTGAGGTGTAAGCGGATGTTGTTTACTTCCACTTCAACTTGCTTATTTATTTACAGGTGAACAAAGTATTAAGAAATCACTTAATAAGGCCCCACTGGATGTTTGCAATGGATAACATAATCCGCCGTGCGGTCCAGGCAGCCGTCACTATTCTTATTCCAGGTAAGTCAAAGCAGCTGAAAATAAATCTTTCTTTTAAAGGGCAGCTGTTCGCACCCCAGAGTTACAGCAAACAGAACAGTTTAGCTGTTTAATCCATCAGCGTGCCATTAACAGCATCCCACGTGCCACTACATCAAAGGCACAGGGTCAGAACATTGTACGGAGAGAAGCGTTGATCTGGGGGTTAAAGCCATACTTGCAGTACACAAGCACAGAATGAGGAGATAACCAATGGTTCTGGGCCACCAGCGCAGGCCAGCAAAGAACGAAAAAGGCAAATTAAATTCAATCCAAGCTGGAGCTTTTCTCCTAAGAAAGAAAATGACTCCGTGCAACATTTCAATGACATCCAAGGTGGGTAACACTGCACAGGTCTGGTTATGTGCTCTGAAAAATGGTGACTGAGCTGTGGAAGAGATGAAGAGAAGGGAACATGTTCCTACGAGTATGATTTTGGACTACAGCTGGATAGGAGGAAAAAAATCACCACCACCGAGAAGGAGGGGGAACAATGACTGTCTAGGAATAAGTCTGAGTTGGAAATGTGCAGGTAGTTTTGTAGCTCTGAAATGCTGAGCACCCCTTCCAGTATGAGAATGGTCTGAGAGCACATTGGTGAAACCTTTTGGTCCAAAGTTCCTTTGGCTTTCAGGCCAAATCAGCCAATTTTTTTAAGGACTTCATTTATAGGAGAAGAATGCCAGCTATCCTTTGGTGGGAAGAGTGGCCACCTGCAGCATATCGTGAAAGAACTGGGGTTAGAAATGCTACCTGGAAAAGAGGAAGGCTTCGTAAACTCTCCAGTCCAGGGCATTAGGGGAAAACAACTTTTAAAACCCCAAGCTTTCAAGGGTTTCTCATTAATATGTTTTATTAACTATATTATTGTTCATGTCATCACAAATGTGTTTGTCACCTCTACAGCTGTAATCTACAGGTACCTACTCTACTGGTACGCTGTAACTGGCTCTTAGTGCCGCTCGTTTTAGAACCGATGCCAGAGAAATCTCTGGTCCAGGTCGCACACGGCTTTGCTGCTCAGTGTTGTACGGAAGCACGTGGTGCAAGTGATCTGCTTCCTTGGCTGAAGCTCCCCCGCCTGCAGTAATTATGAACTTACCCCTGAAAACAGGCTTGTCCCCCAAGAAAAATCTCATTCTTGCACCATTTCCTTTTACCAGAGCTTCGAGCTCACTTTGAGCCAGCGTCAGAAGCTGAAGGCGGGGACAAGGACGGTGAGGAAGGGGAGGAGAGTTTCCAGCCCACTGAACAAAACGGGGCTGAGGATCCCGCCATCACGTCAGGAGTCAGCACCCTTAGTTCTGTGGTGTCACGTGAGGCTCAGCAGCAGCTCAGCCTGGAGTTGGGCAGGCTGAAACAGGAGACCTTAAGGTAACCCTCCTGTCAAGACCGTGGATATTTTTTCAGGCAGTCTTGGAAAAGCTCTCGGGCATCGCTTTCTACAGTGACCTCTACACATGGAGCGTAGATACTGCTCACCTACTATGGTTGGCTTGTGCTACAGCACACCTTCCAGGAACACAACTGGATTCGGAACACGCTGGCAGCACCAATACCACAACAGCCTCCAGTACAACTTGGTTCCTGTGTCATTTCAGTTGCAGAATGCCAAGCTGGATTTCTACTGTTAAGTAATTAGGCCTGTGCAACTGTGCCGGTTCCCTTCCTACTGCCCTGGCTCCTCAGATGCCACCTGACCCCGTGGCAGTGCCCTCAGAGCTGTTCCTGCAGGGAAAAGGCCAGAGCAGCTCTGGCCTGGCCCATGGGGCAGGCTGCCTGCTGAGGACACAGGGGGAGCTCAGCAGAGCCCCTGGCCCAGGTTACAGTCGTAGGCTGCTGCCAGTGTGTTAACAGCTGAAGGTCCCGTTCTTCACAGATACAATGTCAATCTGTGCTCAGCAAGTCCTTGGTGCAACATCAGGGTTGCACTGTTGGGCAATAAATTACAGTGTGAAGGCAGCAACTCTGCCCAGGGCAGCTGCAAAACAACAGGAGCAGAATTTACAGGCTATTTACTAAATTCTGCCAAGATGAAAGCCTCCAAGTGCCACCACTAAGCTGAGCCCCAGACCACCAGAATGACATCTGTTAGCCATAAAACATGTTACTTTGAGAGCGCCTCTCTCAGGCGTCTCTGCCCTTTGGTAGTCATTAAGAGCGCTAAATATTTTTTTCAGCTAGACTTGCTCTCAGTGCGGTTGTGTTCGATCTCTCTCGTATGCCAACAGGCTTTTGGAAACCCTTGTTCAGAAGGAGAGAGAGTACCAGACGCTCTTACGACAATCTCTGGAGCAAAAAACTCAGGAATTGCGCTCGCTTCGATTAAAACTTGAACCCGAAGGTAGGAGGAGCTGCTGCACACAAAAGCATCGTGTGCTGGTTTAAAGGATAAGAGACTGTCTAAGCGTCAGTAGTCTAAACAGCACCACTTCTGCCCTGGTTGTGGGGTGTATTAACCTGTATTTTTGTTTTCTGTTAAAGAGTCCCAGTGGGCTGCAGCACCCTCTAGAGAGAATGCAGACCCCGAGCTCACAAGCTGGCTGAAGCAACAAGGAGCAGACTCAGATACCATTAAGAGGGTAAAAAAAACCCAGTAAAAACAAACAGAAATTAATCATCTTTTAAAAAAAAAAATCAGTTTGTTTTCAATGAAGGAATATTAATTTAGGACTAAATTTGCCTTTTAGTTTGCTGAGGAAGATTATACACTAAGTGCTGTCCTTAATGATATCACTAAAGATGATCTGCGGTACCTTCAACTGCGGTAAGTACGTACGACTTAGTGCTTTGTTAAGAGCTTAATTAAAAGGAGTTTGTAAAAGAACTTCTTCAGAAGCTGGGTTATTCAAACAGGTCAATGAGAGCAGCAACTGACGTGAATTTCATCTCTGATTTTCTGTTGGAGTTGTTCCCCTCTTCACCCACGCAGCGTAACAACTCCTCCCAGCGTGCTTCCAGCCATCTAAGCTTTGGCGCTTGTCAAGGCTGGGAGCTATTTCCGCCCCCTTCAGGCTGATGTCATCGCATGCAAACTGCCATAAAGGACTTACTTCTGCTACCCATTATCTTAAGTCCATCATCACAACCGGCAAGAGCAGTGTTTTGTTCTACATACTGTCGCAACTGGTGGGTCCTTGGGATTGCCAGATGTTACCCCTCGCTCGCTTGAAAGCGATGGCGACGAGGGAGTTTTCCCTGACTGCTCTCCCCTTCTTCTTCATACAGGGGCGGGCTCCTCTGCAAAATTTGGAATGCAGTATTAAAGCACCGACAAACATCAGTGCAGAAGGTCAACGCTTCAGAGGGAGAATGTGTAATGGGAATAAACGAATGAAAGCTACATTCCTACCACCTAAATTATTGGATGTATATACCTACGTACAGCGGCCTTGCAGGTTGTGGACAGTCGCGTAGCTTGTTGCCCACCAGTGCCCTCGCTGTGCCTAGTAACCGCTCCTCAGTTGGTGTCAGCGCCCTTAGGTTAGTTATGCCCGCGCCCCGCAGAAGGCAAACGCCTGGCGATGTCACGCAGAGCGCTAGCGGAGGGCAAAATCCCTTTTCCACAAGTCCGGCACCACACGCCTGAACAGGGTTCAGCACTGTGGAAAGTGTGAACTTGAGGTGTGTTACAGCTCTGCCGGCTGATGGTTGGAGGGGACAGCCTCATGTGCATGTCACCTCTTCGCAGAGGAGGGTACAGAGCTTTCTGTAGTAAAGCTACTCTCCCTAAGAAAAACCTGGTGTCATGTTGTCATTTAGTAACTCTTCCGCAGCAAGAACAGAGCATGGAAACGGCTTTTTTGGGAAAGCAGTTCATCAAACAAAGCAGAGAGGCCACTAGATAAGTGGTATTTAAGTTTAATAATGGGTTTTGATTTTTTTTCTTTACACTGTACATAACACAGCAATCCAAAGAAAAGTCAATAAAGCAAATATATAGCAATTTAAATAAACTGCTGCTTTCTCTTAATTGAGCTCCCGACACAACATTCACCTTGTTTAAGAAAACCCATACTGCAGTGGATTTCCAAAATTTTTTCTTCGAGCTTTTAAATAAGCTTAACGTTTGTTTCCGAGTCATTACAGTCCTGCAAATGCACTCACCTATTCTCATGAGTAAGTTATGCTGCCAAGAAGACCTTTAGCTGACAGACTTGTACCTTATCCACTGGTTTGGGCCACGCACCTCAAAGGGTGGCTCATTGAAGTAGATGTGGTTACCTAGTTCTTCCAACGGGGGCTCGGGGTCAGTGGTGGCAAACTGAGCGGCTTCCTCGATCTCCTTCCTGACCGCCACATCAATTTCCTAACCAAAAAAATGGGTGCTCGTTAGAAGACAGCTCTGAAAAAGCTGCACAATTTGGATTTAAAGGCAATGATTAAGTACTGGACAGAATTAGCATTAACACTGCCTATAAACATGAACTAAAAGCCTGTGAAAACAGAATTCCTACTAAACTGCATACTATTCCTACTATCCTTTGGGATAGCACCAGTAACTTACTGACAGAAGAACAGGACCCCACTGAGCCTCAGCGCCCAAAAGCAAAAGGCTCTTCCAGCAGGGTACGACTTGGTCTGCAACAAAACCCCACCTTCATCAACACAAGCGACATTAGAACAAGCTCCCAATAACGCCCCAGAACAAGTGACACGCTGCCCCCATGACATGCTTTTCAGAGGTCACTCCTGGGTGAATGCCCAAGAGCTGCCTAAGCAGCAACCCAAAGCCGTACCTTTAGCTCTTCAATGCTAGCCAGGTTATTGTTGACCATTCTGTCCTTCAGCAAAGTGATAGGATCGCTTTTGCTTCTCACTTCTTGAATTTCTTCTCTGGTACGATAGCTAGGAGCAAGACAAGCAAAGACATCAGCTTCTTCAGGGGTATCCTTGAAGAGACAACAGGTTCTGGACACAGCTCCCTTTTAGGAAAAGGGCGTGGCCAAGGAACTGTCGGGAATGCAGTGAAGGTACAGCAACATCCATCACTCAGAGGGTAGCACAGAACAGAACACCACTTGGATCCGTAAGCGGCAACTGAGCTGGAGTAGCTCCAGACTCCAGTACAAAGTAGGCATGGAAAGGGGAACAATCCCAGCCCGAGACAGTTACAAGGGGCCATACTTCCTCCTTCTCATCTCCTCTAAGCTGGGGCAGACTTGCTGCCAGCTTCCAGTTCACTACAAGGTTCGTGTGGAGCTGGGGTACACCTCTAATTCACATCGACCCATTTGTCAGCTGGCACAATGCCAGAGTCTTTTTGGCACCTCTCTGTATTTTTAAGAAGTGTTCCACTTGACTAGTGTCATAGTTTAACCTTATCTGGCAATGAAGTACCACAGTCGCTCACCTCCCCTCCCCCAGTGCAGGAGAGAGTCCAGGAAAGCTCGTAAAGTTAATAACTATTCAATAATATAAATGAAAATTATAGTGGTACTAACAACACTACTAAGTATTTAAAATAATAGAAAATAGACCATATGATACAACCACTCACCACCTACCAACTGACAATCAGGTCCTGAGTGTGAGAATCTGAGAGCCAGACAGCCCCAGAGCAGGGAGAAAACCTGCTGCCCCACCCACTAACAAAAGAAGCTGCCCTGCCACTAACCACCTCACCAAGAGCTAACCCACCCAGGTATTAAGCTAGCTTTAAGCCTTAATGACCCCCCCAGGCCACTTCCTGCCTCCAAACTGCACATGCTTAACACCCAGCCTGATCACTGAGCCTCACCTACCACAGAATCACAGA